CTTTATAACCCGTATTCCCTCAGTGCGTAAAATTTTATTCTTCCAGAAGAATATTAGGCAGTTAAATGTACAATTCGTGGTTATAATGGTTTTTGTCCAAAGCCAGGATATTTTCAGATTGGTGGATGCGGATTCCTCTGTAATGCTTAAGGCAATGTAGACGCTCATTGGAAGGTAAAGACATAATAAGCAGGCAACTGCAAGTAAACAACTTGAAATATTTTTTAAGTTAGCTGACTTTCTTAATCCCGCAGGTGATGCTGCGTTTTTCTTTCCCATTTTTCTGGCGATAAAGAACAACTTCCAGTTGATGAAGAATAATGGTGGTGAGACAATGCTTGCAAATATCATTGTTGCAACATAATCGGAGATTACAAGGTTATTCACAGAACACCCGGTTAAGATTATTTCAAAAAGAAGAAATATTACCAGAAGAGTTAGCAGTCTATGCCTAGTTACCGAAGTTCGATGAAAAAGCGGATAAGCCATTGCAAGATATCGATCAAGGTTCATGACCAAAAGTGCGAGCAATGAAAACCCAAGGAATATATCAGTAATGTCCACGTAAGCGTACAGTCTATCCAATACTTCGTATTCTTCAGTCATCCAAACGATTGAATAGATTACCAGCATTGGATGATTCGTTATAATTGCAACTATATCGAAACATGATAGGACCATAAGCATGAAATAACATAATTTCTTCTGAAGTTGTGAAGTCTTCCAAAAGCAGAATATGACAAGTTTAGAAATATCCCCGAACAGGTAAAGAACACATTCACGACGCACAGGAATGACAATTGGATATATATATATTCAGATCCATCTTTGTAGAAAAACCTAGCTCTTGAATTGCATAGAACAAAATCCCAATGCACCTCGCCACAACTTGACTAACCCAAACGCATGCAGAATTTCTGTGATCGAATTTTTTCGATGCAAGGCGTTGTTTAATATTCAAATTCCTTTAATATTCGTTCAAAACCATGAATCATAAATCATAATATAGCATCATCACATCATGACCAATATTTGATCATTCTCCGACAATCAAATACAATTTATAAAAAAAGTTCGCTCATCTTTGAAAGTTAATCAACATCCGACTTTACTTTATTGGAAATCCTTCAATTAAAACGCATAATCAAACTTGCGTTATTGTTTGTTAAAATTAATGTAGTCATTGTCGTAATACATATACAGTAACGGATTCCTTATTATGCAAAATCAAATTTACACAGCAGGCAATCGGTAAATATGAATGGGTCTGTTTTATGTAAACAAACTGAAAATAATTTAGAAAAGGTAAATTATTAAAGGATATATATCGTCAATCATATTGACTATATTCTAAGATTATTAAGCAAGTTGAACGTTACGTATATTAATTAAAAAGTATGGGGAAGCTGCGTTAAGGTCAAATTAAGAAGTTTCCAAGCGCACTAGCTGTTTGTGGCCGCTACATACACTGCCTTGGGATCTTGCTGAACGATGGCAAACACGAATATTGGTGGTAATACAATGTAATATCGAGAAACTGAATGCAATTCAGATACTAGCTACAATCGCAGCCTGTTCTTTTGCACATTGTGTAAAACCCCGGAGTTAGGTAAGTAGCATAGTAGGGAGAGATTTCGGCCGCTTTTTAAGGGGGAGGGAGGATGAGTTAATTAATATTCATGATCGTGAGGGTGCATGAGTGACGTATGAGTTAATTATATCCCATAAGTACGTCGTGACCTTCGAAATGACAAGAAGAACGAACAAAAACTCGCCGCGAGTGACGTCACGACGGAGCAGATTTGAGCTCCGATTCAAGTTTTGTAATTCATTGATATTAAGGATTTTCGACGAGTGTAGAATCTTAACTAATAAAGAGTCAAACAAGGTGAAGTGATCTCTGTTAGACTCTGTGCGAGTCACGATAAATTCATTTTACCTGCATGGAATGAGCTTATACACACCTTCGTAATATGAACATAGTCAGAGATATTGCGAAAAATAGGTGTGTCATTCAAACAGACTAACTAAAGGATTTTTTTCACGGTGTTTTCCTAGACATGACGAAGGCCAATGTCTCCAGTATGAGCATATGTGAAGACCTACAGGTCCGCCAGTGAGCAATCTTGACCGTTAAAGTGTACCAACTTTCGAAGGTGTTGTGTTATTATAGACACACTTCTCTTTCATTATTGACATTATCTAAATTAGATACTTTAAGGGAGCAGAAGTAAGGGTATTACTGTATTAGTGGGGAAAGTATAAGATGTAGGATTCAAGGAATACTGGGAAAAAGAATAAAGTTATATTAATTTTTACACAAACATTTATTTTGTAATAATGTACTGTAGTGGAAAAATCAAGTTGACCGGTCCAGACAGAATCCAATTCCATTGAATCCAATGCACATTGAATTTTTATAACAATTCGGAATAAATGTTCAATCACTAAGGAAATGCCATTATGTCAATCATGCATTATGCATGTACATCTTTATGAATATAAAATATTCCCCTGAAATGACCTAACATTGCGTTTCAATTGTATTTGTAACATTTCTAGTGTTCCAAAAATGTGTTTCATTGGGTTCGAGATTACGACGTATAACTGAAAAGGATTCCAATGTCATTAAGAACGCAACTGGAATGCACCAGCATATAGCAGTCTTATGTTATTTTTTGTAGTGACACCTAATAGGATAACATGTCTTTCCACAAACGATCAAATTGGGAAAAAAATGTTTGGTGAAACACGGTTTTTAAAAACGACGCATATCGCTAGAGCTAACCACGCAATTAGTTACTGGATATATACAACCCTGACTCACTGACTTGATTTCAGGAAATACATGGCCAATTTACCAAGCAATACTTCGCCACTGATGATACCAAAGAAATACATTTCGTTTCAGCGGATCAAGGACAAGATAGGCAAATGACTGTTCATGTTGATTACCAGCAGGATATATTGTTTCACCATCGCTGTCCTAAAGTAACGTTTTATATAAAAAAGTTAAAAAGATATAGAATAACAGTAAATGTTAATATGTTCAATAATAATGTATTGTCAAAACCCTGCATGCATGTACAGATGCACTACATGTTAATCTTTCTATATAGGTTTCACTTGGTCTACTATTTCTCTACTGAAAGCTAGGATACTCATGTAATTTAAACTAGGGATACAAGGATAGTGTAAAGTTTCAAATTGAAAAAGACACGGCAAGAACTGTATAGGGTCGAGCAGGCATAGGCTAGAGCAGGCAGTTACCAGGATTGGTAGGTTTGCTGAATAATTAAGCCAAACACCGTCACATTAGGCCTTTGTTTTCTTTATGTCTTGGTCTTTTGTTTTATTTGTTTTCTAAACGGCACTAATGACGATTTGGCCTAATTATTCATCTAACATACCAACCCTGCACGTTATTCAAAAATGTGGATTAGAACAACGTTTTTGCGAGATAAACAATTTCGTGTCACTTCCTTCGTCGTGCCTCGTGTGTCCGGAAATAGAAAACCGGAAGTAATACTTTGAGACACTTTATATTTTTGGGTCGAAGACAGGGCGTGTATTAAAACTACTGAGAAAAACTAATAAACTATATCTATGCGATTTGTTTTGGGATACTATTCTTTTGGAGGCCAAGAAATTCCGGATAGTGGAACTGATACAATTTTTTTATTTATTGTGATGCTACACGCGACAACTCGAAATTTAACCAATAGTTTCACCAACAACCAAATTTTGTATATTGTAAAACTACATTTGCATTGGAAGCTGTCGCTGATGAGGCTACTGATATACTAAACTTATTTAAAACTATCAGCGCCCATATTGCACATTTGACTATTGTCTCAGTGACACTCTTTAATTGAAATAGCTGTATAACTAGTTAATACGACGTTGCATCCATTACAAAAAACATAAATCAAAAACAGAAACGTAAAAATGAGGCGAAAAAAGTCATTAAATTGACGCATTTTATCCCCATATCCATTCCGCATCCGCTCCGTGTAACCGCTCCGTTCCGCGTCCGCTTCCGCATTTTAACCGAATTGTGACATGTTTCTCAATAACAAGTCTCATTGACCTTTGACTTTATATTCCCAAGATCAAGTTGTTTTTCACGAGTCATTTTCCGCTTTTCGCAAGTATTGAATAATGTCAATTTAGATGTCAATAGTTTCACAGTTATAGCAGTGTTTATAGCAGTTTTGATAGCTTTGATACAGATACATTCTCGTAAGATCTGGTAGAGTTCTCGTTGCATTGAATATTGCATTGTGCCATTGAACACCAGTTTGCACCGTTGTGCCAGACATGTGAACAAGGCCCGTGACTGTACACGTTGGATAGCTACTTGCCTTTTTCTTCTACTTCATAAAGCTTGCTGGGAAGTCAAGCGGTTGGCGATAACACGATACAAACACCCGCTTGATTGATTGATTGATTTTAATAATCGTAATTTGCAGTTACAATAAAAACAACTGAAATATATACGATGAACAGTGATGAATAACCTAATAATATGTACATAACAAGTAATAAAAATTGGATTAGATATATGATTATAGTACAATTTAAAAAAATTAAATTACTGTTGAAGACTATTAGCGATTATGAATGAGTTCTTATACCGATCAGTTCGAATTCGAGGTAGATGGAATTTACTACATCGTCTTAGGGAATACAAACAAACTTTTTTCTCCGGAACTAGTGAATGTAATTTATGATCTGTCATTTGGGCCTCTTCAAAAAGTTTGAGGCAAGCAGCTGTCCTACGATAAAACAATAAATCTAACTTCGAGGTTTTAATAGCGTCCTCATAAGAGAGGTTTGGATATACTCTTCTCAGGAAACGCTTTTGTACCCTCTCAATCTCGTTGTGTAGATATTTCGGCAACGAGTTATGGAACACTGGCGACGCGTATTCCAAGATCGACCGGATACATGCGCAGTAAATTAGTATATCTTCAATTGGGTATAATATCTTCAATCGTTAGCATAATATAATATCTTCAATCGTATAAGTTGAGTCATCAACTTAGTATAATATCTTCAATCGTTTAAGTTGAATCATCAGATATAATCAGATATAAATTAGTATAATATCTTCAATCGTTTAAGTTGAGTCATCAGATATAATCTCTTGGTGGCTTTAGAAACGATTTTCTCTACGTGTACTCTCCATTTTAGATCACTGCTAATCGTAAGCCCAAGGATTTTAGCATGACTCACTATTTCAAGTTCTTTGCCGTTGACTAATATCGAGGCAAGCGTGTTACTGGTGTTACTATTCCTAGAAAAATCAATCCTAAGCTCTTTGCATTTGTCTTCATTTAGTTGGGCTAGGTTGGTTTCTTTCCAGTTTTGAACCTCATTAACTCCCAACTGAATTACACTACGCTGACCTTTTTTAAGAATTTCCGAAATAGTTGTGTCATCGACAAATTTCCAAGGATCGCTATGAGATGTTGTCAAGGTCATTTATCATTAGAACATATATATACCCAGGGTACAAGTTTGGTACCCTAGGGGACACCCGCGCGAGTTTCACTCCATTGGGAAAACCAGTTGTTCGTTAATTTTACCCGCTGTATAAGGCCAGTAAGAAAATCCAAGATCCAATTTGTTGTAGAAGGGGGGAGGTTAAGTTGTTTAATTTTGCCAGAGAGTTGTTTATGGTCTATAAGATCAAACGCCTTTCTGAAATCAAATGGATTGTGCGAACTAGATTTGCAGGTTGGTCAGTGGCTTGTAACCAGTGGTGCATCATAGATATTAAAGCCATTGTAGTTGAAGGCCAGTATTTGTGCAAACTCTCTCAGTAGCCATGGTTGCAGTCCATCCGGGCCAGGAGATTTACTTGCGTTAAGGGATTTCAGTTTCATAAATACATCAAATTCGTGTACTTGTAACACGTCACAGTTGGATGCTGGCCCTGCATACTGGATTTTATCAGACTCATCAAGTGGCACATATGATTGCTGTGGATCCAAAAAAAAATCATTTATAATGTTTGCAATTTCATCATGGGAAAAATCGTTAATATTAATATTTTCTAGTGCAAGGATGGATAATATATCTTTGTTATCAGACATTGATGTAGAAACAACCATAAATGTAAAAACACATTCTAAACCGCGGGAACATCATGTCGACCAACTAACCAAAAATACCGTTCCTTGTCCCTTCCTGTCACGAAGGGGTTGGTGTCTCAAAGGCGAAAATTGCGACTTCCTTCACCCAAACCTTGAACGAAACCAGCGCAATTGTGATTTTCTACATCCAAGTTTAAATCGAAACCAACACTATCGTCCTTTTTTATTCCCAATTCAACCGAATGCTTGTCAAATCATACGACGCCCCAAGCACCCCCCTTACCCCCGACCATTGATGGAGTTTCCCTTCCTTTCACTACAATTACCACCCATCAGACAAGAAAATCTGGTCAATCGTTAGACGCGCCCCACACATCCATAGAGCAGTACGACCGACAAAGCATTCCATATACTGACCCCGTAGCTGATCAAATACCTAGAACAAATAATATCCCAGTTTGGACAACTAGACGGCAAATTAACTTACATAATCGTTTAAACAGTACCCCTGCATACACAAACGAAAGGTTCGTAACCACGAAAAATTTGACAAAATTCCTATATTGAACCATAAAAATTGGAGACTAGGTTGCCCAAATGCCCAAAGATACCCACTATCATTTTTCCTTTCAAATGTCAGATCACTTCTGCCGAAAGTTGATGAATTAGATGCTATTCTTAAATTAAATCATGCCAGTTTGGCTTTTATCACAGAAACATGGCTAAACGAAAACATTGATGACGCCGCAGTTCAAATACATGGCTACTCCTTGATACGTCGTGATAGAAAATCTAGGACTGGAGGAGGGGTGTGTGCTTATATAAAGTCACAGATCCCCTTTAAAATTCTAACTTGTTTGCAAGATGTTTGTTTCGAAACTCTGTGGCTTTACCTGAGACCTCACGAACTGTTCCGAGGATTCTCATGTTTGGTTGTCTGTGTGGTTTACCACCCACCACCCAGCGACAACAACACACTAATCGAACACCTTACCATAAAGCTTGATGTTGCCCTCTCCATGTACCCAAATGCTGGCATAATATTAGTTGGGGATTTTAACAAATGTCCAGTTTCCACAATACTCAGACATTTTACTTTAAAACAGATTGTTAAACAACCTACGAGAGGGAATGCTATTTTGGATTTAATTTTCACAAACATGTCAGACTTTTGTAACATCCCCTTGGTAATCCCACCCTTTGGGCGCAGCGACCACAATTCAGTGTTATGCTCATATAAGGAAGGTTCACATATTGATAACAGTAGATTACTGAAATGTTTATCCTCTGTAAAGATTTTGAAATACAAATACAAATACAACTAAAAACACCCACACGAAAGTAAAAATCAGACAGGGAAATAATGCTGCAAAAACTGCTTCTGGAAAGTGGTTAACCGATTTTAATTGGAACATTTTATACCGCACTATTTCTTGTGAACAAAAATTAGACCTCTTCCAAGACATCATAAATGCCGGATTGGATTGTTTCCTTCCGATAAAAACTGTAAATTACATGACAATGACAATGACAAACCTTGGGTAACTCCTGAATTTAAGAAAATTATCGGAACCAGACAAAATGCATTCCATCATGGAAAAAGTCCACATTATCAGCAGTTACGAAATCAGGTAAACAGAGAAAGTAAGAAGCTCAGATCCACATTTCTTGAGAAAAAGTTAGAACAGTTAAAGCTAAACCCTAACCCAAAAAAGTGGTGGCAATCAATAAAACAGTTATCAGGATATCCTAAGAAGAAAGTTCTTTCAACTCTTGTCGTGGGAAATCAGGTGATGTCAGGAAAAGCCCTGGCCGAAAATATTAATGACGCTTTTGTTTCAGTTACCAAAGAAATCCCTCCTTTAAATCGTCTTCATATCGACATT